TTAATTTTTGCTTTACTTCAAAGACTGCATAAATCGTTCAACCTAAATATATGCAATCCTAGAAATAGTTTCGTATATGAATGAAAATAATTTTAATAGTGTGCTAGGTATTACATAGACTGTTTTTAAAAGAATTATTTTCACTTGCTGAAAGGAAAAGCGTTACAATACAAACCATTGGTTTGACTCAACTTTATTTAAATAAAAATTGCAAACACTAATAGAATTTTATAATTTTACATAAACAAATGGTAACAACTGTACGAGGCTCAACATAAAGGATAAGACGAGAAAAGCAATTTTGTTTTTAATAACAAAACTTAGAATGGGTTGTCAAAGATTCATGTCAAAGATAGTCTACCTAAATATTGATGGTATCATAGTAAAAAATATTGCACTGTTAAAACAACAATTAATAAAAAAAGATATTTTCTGATTAGCAAATTTGCACCAATGAATAAAATATTTTTTCTTTTGAGTAAAATTTCAGAAATGATCTTTGAAAAAGTGTGAATAATTATGAATTTGTGAATAAAAAATAAAAGAACATGGAAATATAAAAGATAGGAATAAACGATTTAAAAACGGGAAAATAAGATAGGAACAAGCGAAAAACCACTTTAAAAATCAACGCAAAATATAATCAAATTAAAAACAAAGATACTTTCTAATCGATTCCTTAAAAAATTGCTTACGCATTACTTACATACATACATTATTCAAATACTTTAAAATGAGAAAAAAATATTTTTTGACGGTAGATTTTCATAGTAAAAAATCCTTAAAAAATTATATTTCGATAATAAAAATATTGATATGTTCAAAGCAAAAAAAATCTATTTAAGAGATGTTGGGTTCGGTATTCGTAGTTTAAGGTTGGTTTCGTTGTACTTTTCGGGTAGGGATTGTCAGGTGTCTTTTTGATCGTCTTTGTCCGAAATTTCCCTTGCTGCCCCCGGGGTTCCGTAGGGTAACCATTTGGGTCGACTGTTTTTCATTATATCGACAAACGTTGCACTGGGTTCTGTAGCGGACTGTAGATTCAGCAGTTCTGCAGACGACTCAAAATTTAGTAAGACGGTTTTTTTTTTTGAAAAAAATTGTTTTTCGTTACAGAACGACTTGGACATTTTTAATTTATGGTAGTGGCTTCGCAGTAATGGTTTAGAACTGAATGTTGACGAGTGTCGTGTATTAAGTTTCTCTCATAAAAGCGAGTCTTCTGTAATTAAATATACCTCCCGTTCGAAAAATGAAAGGGTTGTGAAGCGGGTTAATCTTATGAGTAATTTTGAAGTCATTCTCGACCAGGAATTCGACTTTAAGGCTCACCCTAATATGATTATAAGTAGGGCGAAGTCTAATTTAATTTTCGATATGAGGTGGGCTTTGCTGACGCCTACATTGGTTAGCGTCTTTATTTATTATACATTAGACCTATTTTTGATAATGCGTGTCAAGTTTGGGCCCCTTATCGTTCTATAGATATTTCTTGGATCGAATCAGATCAGAGAAAATTTCTCTGTTTCGCATTGCATACTTTATGTTGGTCTGATCCCCTCAGGACGTGATTTCTATTCATCGACTTGTTTCGGGGAACGTTGTTTCGGAATTTTTTTTAGCAGGTATTTTTTAGAGAAAATTCGAACAATTTGAAGTCAGTAGGGGTTTTCAATTTCGTCATCACTCTACGGATTGTGGTAGAAATGAGTCATCGACTTGGATGTTGCGTGCGGTTACATGCGGAATTTGAATTGTGGATAATATAGCGGTGGTGTTGTGACTTAATGCTTTTTTCTTTTTTGCTAATTTTTGTTTTTTAGTGTTAGTGAAATTATTTTTATGTCTCTCATACTAATAAACTCTACCCTTACTAAGTCCCCCTATCAAGAGATGACGATTGTGCCATGCAATCTGGAAGCATTTTTGTGCTTATAAATGATGGCTGTTTTAGTTCTTTCATGCAATATGAATTTGCATGGCAATTGATGCTTGGCCTAAGCATTCGTTATTAAATTGTTATAAATATAATTATTTTGAGTTTTTAGAAATTAAATTAATAGGAGCGAGAGTATCTCCCTATCTTATTGCTCTTTGAATTAGGGTATAGACTTATTAAAAATTCATTAAAGATAACCACTGTTAATTTAAACAACCGCTATACTCATTAAACTACTTTTGCTAGTACCTACAAAAGAGAGTAACTAAATATGATAAGAATTCTTTTTTTGTGGAATTTGTAGGTTTGCTATAATAATTTAACAAAAAATTATTTTTAAAATCTTGGTGGGCTATTCGTGTAAAAAGATGTAAGAAAAGGGAAAAACTTTCCCATTAAAAAATAATAGCCAAAAGAGAACCTTGTAACAGCCAAAAAGAGAACCTGGTTTAATTCGTAAATTATCCAAACTAAAGATTTACAAGGATGATGCATACATGCAGTCTTTGAAATAAAGCCAAAATTAATATAAAAAGGGGTTAACATAATGCTTGATTTTAAGGGTTAATTGTGTGAGTTAAGAAAAATAATTATATTTTTTAATGTCATGGAATTCACCGTTAGCTTTTTGTGTTTATAGTAATTTGAGAAAGCTTGCGGTTTCGGAAATATAAGATGTCAAAAATTCAAATTTTAGAAATTTCAAGAGGCGATAACTTGAGAGGGGGTGGAGATAGAAAAAAATTTCTTCTAACGAAATTAACTATTTGTTAATATCTAAAAGCTCCTAAAATTTCAAGCTTTTACAGGCTGGGGTCTAGAAGAAAAACGAAATCAAAAATTTGGAAAAAAAAGACTTTAGATAACGGTAAATTTGAACGACCATTTTGCTTTTCTAAAGTTTAACTATAGTATACCGCACTAGGGGAAGCAAGCCGCTGCCTTTATGTGTTTGCAAAATTTCAAAAATGCTTATGGTTTCATTGTAACAAATAGTTAAAAAAGGCCATTTTTAAGGTTTGGGGGGGTATAACTTCTAGAGGGGGGAGATAGGTAAAAATTTTGTTCTAAAAATTTTTTGGAAAAGTGCTAAAAACCATGTATTTATAACCATGTGATTTGTGAGCAGTAATACATTTATAAAGAATAGAAATCAAATTTTTTATTATACATAAGCAATTTCTTGGTCTAGTTAACTAAGGTAAATTTCGGCACAAGTATAGGAAATTTCTGGAATCAAAAAACTTAAATTTTACTAAATTGTGAAAATTTAAAATATTCAATAAAATTCAAAGTTGCATCTTGCTTTTGTGGTTTTCCAATGTTGAAGTCAATAACAAAATAATACAGGCGTTGTTGCAATTTGTGACATTCTGAATTATTATACGCTTCTTAAATAAAGTAAATCAATTTTAATCTTCAATTTTAATACATACATAAATATTTCGTTCAGATAGTTTAATTATTTCTTGCATAAATTTTCTTTGCTTCTCAGTGAATCAGCCTGAAAAAAAACCTCCTTCTCCATCACATTCATATTTTTCAATGAAAAGTGTTGTAAACAACTATGTACGCGATAATCTGTACAATGGTTTTAACGGATTTTAAATTAATTATATACAATAATCCTTACGCAAATACATACTTTACATACATATGTGTATGTTAAATTAATTACGTCTGATTAAATAAATTAATTACCTGTCTGCTGTATTTTAGATAAATATTTTTAGAAAATAAATGAAAATTAAATAAAATTAACGAAAAAGGGGTTAAAAAAAAATCTTAGAAATTTTCGCAAATCAAAAAATTTTCTTCATAATTCGATAATTTTCGTGATACTTCTCAAAAATTTAATGATTCTTTTGACCATAAAGTTGGCAATATTGGACAATAGGAAACCTTATGATTTTAGTAGAGTGGTTATCAAATATTTCTAAATTATTTTACATTTGAAAAATTGTTGTACAAGCATTTTTTTAAAACTTTATAGTACAAAAATTATTGGAGAGTGATCAAAAGATTAAAAGAGGAAGATATTATTTTGGCGTATTTTCTTAAACTTAAAGTAGGTGAATATTTTAGGTACAGCCGGTGGTTTTGTATTAATTATAAAATACTTGTATGACATTTTAATTCTATATGTGTATATAATGTTTACTTTACAATATGTTTTGTTCTTTTTTTCATCTATTACGTGTATGCAGGTAAGTAACATTCAATATTGTCAGTGACAGTAAAGTTTATTTTAAAAACCTCTTGTTATTATCCAAACATACAACCAGTTTTGAAATTTAGAAAATACTAAAATGTTAACATCTTTAAATGCAATAAATTTATATTATTTATCAAAATTTTAAAAGAATGTCTCATTAATGCATATTGAATTCTAAATCTCCTAATGAATTCCACTCCCAAAATGGAATTCTATCTGCTATCATTTTAAATAGTTTCACATTTTTTCAAATAAAATTGTTTAAGCAAATGCGTGCATTATAACTGCAAATACATATGTACATATGTTATAACGAAATTACACTCAGCATTTTATTCATCCTTCTGTTACAATCAAAACCCATCACTGGTTCCTTACTAATTATATTGTCTTGTTTATATATGTGTATATAGTATATTTAAATATTATGTCTCCTTTCAGTGAATATTCCAAACGGATAAATAATTTCTTAAAATTGGGTACAAAATCGTCCAGGTTAAACTTTATTTTTTCCTATTAATTAAGGATGCTTATGACGCCATTTATTATCGCCTTCGATTTTAATGTTATATAAAATAAAGTTTTGTGTACATATGTATATATAGGTAAATTATATACACATTATAACTTTAAAAATTTTTATATAAATAGGGTAGGCAAACACTATAAGAAAATCAGAGCATTTAAGTGCTTTAAAAGTGAATCTTGTTATTTGTCATTAAAATATGAAAAAATTTTAAAATACCGAAAAATAAATTCAATTTTAAAACTTAGTTTTATATAAACTTAGATCCACGAAACTTAACAATAAACATTAGTAACATTAAAAATAATAACAATAAAAAAATATATTGTTAATAATATAATAAAAATAAATAAAATTATTTTATATAAATTAAATAAAAATATTTAAATAATATACGATTTATATAATTTTATATAATTCAATAAATTCGAGCTCAAAAAATTTTAAAATGTTAAACATAAAAAAAAATAACAAAATGTACTTGTTAATCCTTTTAATTTTATTAATTAATAATATTTCCGGTTATATACCAGACGATCAGATAAAAGGAGTATATTGTGGTAAAGTATTAACAAGAGCTATTGAAGAAATATGTCCGAACGGTATCAATGGACCCAAACTCAGTCAGCGGAGAAAAAGAGGTAAATATTTTTTATGATAATTAGTAAGTATTAATAATGTGTATATGTTACAAAGCATTTTGAATATGCAGCAGTACCAATCCAATTCTTTCGAAAGATCTAGATTAAATAGATTAAAAATCTATTAAAGTTTTCCAAATTTTCTTTAATTTATTCACCCGCATCAAAAATTGTTAAGCTCAATAAAACTTTGATTAAATTGCTTTTGAACTCTTAAAAGATTAAATTTTAAATTTATTTCATAAAAATTCTTGTTTTTGAACAACTTTTGATTAAAAATAGCAATTTATAATAATTAGATTTGTTTGCAACGGCTGTAGTAAATAGTTTAGAAATAAAGCATTTATCATTGTGCCTGATTGCTTTTTAAAATATAGATATTTCAAAAAGATACGAGAATCATTACTAAAAAGTCGATTTTCTCCTTGACAAACACATATTTAAATTTGGTTTTAATAAATAGTTTAACAAATAAAGTGCAAACTGAGCAATTTTTCAAAATAATTTTAAATTAATATTGTTTAATTCAATTACCTTAATCGCGGTTTCTTAAACCATTCTCTATAAAATGATTGTCATTAAATTGTTCCTAGTTGAATGCATAAGTTTTGTGTAACAAAAAATAAATAATATTGTTGTTGTCGTCGAGATTGCCAAGGCTAGATTCTATAGCGTATTAAGAAAATCATAAATTAGATATTTAAAATATAGTAATCATATTAATACAGCAATTTTCGGGAGTAATAACTTGAAAGTACTGAAAAAGTTTATAATTTGCTTTCCTATGTAATACTAGAATCACAAAACTCAACAATAAAAGAAATTAGTAAAATAATGAATTTAAATAAAAAGGATACATGCGACTTTTTATAAAGAGTAAATGATTGTGTACACTTTTGAAGAATTTCGATATACTTATATCTGATTTAGCAACATTAATCAATATATGTATGTACATATACATATAAGAAAATACAAGTGTCAAATCTAGAAAAGAATTTCAAAATTTTTTTCTCTAAAGAAGAAATTACCTATTTTTAAAAACTATTTTTTTCATATATACTTGCAGTTTTTTCTACTGAATCAAATAAGGAATTGTCTGCATTTGATACAGACGACCAAAATAATGATTACGAAGTAATACAATGGCCATCTGGATTATATAAAACCGACGGGTATTATACAACAAGATATCGCAGATCACTTCTTATCAATATTGTACAAGAATGCTGTAAAAATCCATGTTCTGTCGCCACCCTTAGACAATACTGTAATTAAATGAAACAACGAAAATAGTCAAAAGAAATACATATTAAAATTGAATAATGATTTTTAAAATTTGCGATCAAAAATTCAATAAAAAATATCTCAAAATGAAAAGAGCTAATAAAATTTGTTTGATGTCATAATCTCATAACAATGGCGTTTGAACTTAAAGTAAAGAAACTAATCCCTTTAAATTATAATTGAAAATTTATAATATAGTACCAATATTGAATTAACTTTTGTGAATATAATATGTACTATGTATATTAAGTATAAGAATTACTAGTATCAAAATATCAAATAGAAAAAAAAATTTGCTTACATTTTCAAAAATTTTTAAAAAAATTCGGTCTATTTTATTCTACCTATTCATGTGTTCTATGTATTCGCTTAAAAAACTTTCAGCGTTCAAGCTAAAAACCTAAATATTTTCTATAGGTTACTTCTTTTTCTGCAAATAAAATGCAAGTTTTTAAGAAGTTTCTGTGTCAAAAAGAAAAACATTTTTTAAATTCCACAAACACCAAAATATGAAAGACTCCATTCTCTATTATAAAAAATAATAATCAAATATCTAATCGTTAATTTAATCTTTCAAATGAATTTTTAGCTAATTTTTGATCTAGATTTTCATATACATTGTGATTACTCTGAAAATATAACAATTGAAAAATATTTATTCCACTATAGTACAAAAATGTTTTGCTATTTCTTCCCCCGAGCAAAGCACATAAAGTTTACAAAATGAAAACTATTGGTTTTCCAATTTTTCGTCACTAACGAATTTTAATTAAAACAAAAATGCAAGAATGCAATTATCAACCAAATTTGACGCCTATGCTCATACTTAAATACAAGGTATGTAATCTAAATTTATCAATTTAAGGTCTGTCCTAAATATGGTTGTATGAGAATTATTTTAATTAAAAGTTTTCATAGTTAAGACTTCTAAATCTTAAAAAATAATACTTAGAGCCCTGTCATGAATTCCACTCATAGATAGCTCCGACACAGACCTTTGAATGATCACAAATCCCTTTCGTTGAGATTGTGAATCAGCAATGCAGCACCGTTTTGCGCAGAGTCAAAATCAGTATTTTTTTCCACAGTCAAATGTTTATTTATATTTTTTGTTGCTATTTAAGTATCAACTTTCATTTTAAAAATATCCCCTCGTATTAAAATTTTGCTGTATTTTTAGTTTTTATTTTTGAAAAGTAGAAAAAATTTTTTCAGTAATAAAAATTCACTTTCCTTCATGGTGTAGGAGGAAGAATAAAGCAGAGTATTTTTAAATTTAGAGAAAAATTTAAACTGACTGGTTCCTTACGAATAATCGGAACAGAATTTTAGTAATTTAGCATTGTTTTAGTTTGTGAAATTACGAATTACTAAAAATCTGCTCCAAATATTTGTAATGGAGTAATCATAACTTTCGTTCGAAATAAAAATTTTAATTACTCTCAAAAATCACATAAAGAAATAATCACTCGTAACAAGGAATTTAAAGAAAAAAGTCGTATTAAATTTTCGAATTTTGAATTTTTGTTTTTGAGTTTGAGTTACTCTAACCCAGCTTCCACGAAAGGAAATTAATTCATATTTCCAAAATTTTTATTTCCACTTTTCAAAAATATTTATTTCAAAACAAAAAAAGCTGCAAAACTTTCCTGCAAAAGGATATTTAAAGATGTACAGGAATTACAAGTTAAAGTACTGATGAGCAAATCATCAATCATCTGGAGATGTCTAGTCCGCCTAGTAATCAAAACCTTGTTCTGTAGGACTAAACAATTTTGCTTGAACCACCTCAAAGTACTTTATTATTGATTTCGAGCTGTTTCAGGGAACCGGGACATTCCCAGATACCGGACTTCGCCATGGACCGTCTATAATACTGCTAACTAAATCTTTACCAAAGGGCAGTCACATACATTTTGATAGATTTATAGCTTCTGCTGAATTTGCGGCATGAAGACCATTTAATTTTATTCACTTAAAAATTACAACAAATTAATTTATTTATGTTCTTTATTAGTATTATTGTTTAAATTATTATTTTATATAATAATTATTCTTAAGATTAAAACATCAAATTCAATTTAGATCAAGAGTTTCAAATTATTTATACATACTACAAAGAGAGGAAAATGAATTTTACAGTTAATTCATTATTCGAAATTAAAGCAAATTATATATACGTAAGCAAAATAATTACGTGATTTAAATACACATAACAGGTAATTTAAATATACATAATTAAGTATGAAGAATAAAAATTGCAAGTAAAAAAAATGTAAAAAGTACGAAAAATTTATCTAACCGCCAGAATTATTTAAATTTAATGTGACGTTTAGATTCATCTTTCGGCAGCAAATTCATTGTCGATCTTAGAATAGTTTCCAAAGCTCAGGATACTGACGAGGAGTTGAAAACTCTACTTTCTGACTCCTCCTCGAATTTCAAACTTCAAAAACATATTTCGATGCTAACCATAAATTCAAATTCCGATTTAGCCGTTTTATGACGCGCTGAAGGCATTCTACTCGGAGAGGAAAAAGGAAGTTGTCCCTTGGTCACGATGTGATGAACGACCGAATGTTTAACAGGTGTGGAATAATCTGAGCCCTGAGTAAGAGTCGGGTAGTTTTTAAGGATTCCTCCGTACACGTTGTTTACGATATAATGCAAAGGTGTCAACCTTAGCCTGCGAAACCTTGACCGACATACTTCTACTTCCGCAATGCTTGATTTTTAAGATTAACCAAAAGCCCGAAACGCTCCAAAAAATCAATTAGATAAGGCTTTCATCATATACTAATTGATGCGATGATAAAAGCGTGTAAAAATTGTCTTCGTAAACCAATATTAAGTTGAAGTAACTTGGTACCGTAAGATTGTACAGGCAAGAAGCAAGAATTCCGAAGGTCGATTTTTGCACCCAATGCTTGATACCCCCCACCCCATACATTCAAAAATTATAAATTTTTTATTGAAAAATTAACTCACATAAATTACTTACTATAATTCTTACTATATTCCTAACCATATTTCCAAACCGTTTCTGGCAACACTTTTTATGTTGTGTGATATTTGTATAGCTTACTTTTTTATTATAATGTTAACCCATCTTAATATGATTTTCAGGTGTTTTGAGTGGATAGGCTGGAAAGTGCAGGTTCGAGGGCTGGTGGGGTTTTCTTGACCATGAATTCGACATTACTGTCTGGACTTGTATCTCTTCCGTCTTGCAATATGCTTTAATCTGTATGTGTGAAGATTGGTGTGAGCTGCTCGTAATTGGACTAAATATAAGTGGACTTTATGGTATAAATTCTTTACATAGTTTTGTGTTGGTAAATGATTTTAATTCGCCTGGTCTTGAGTGGATTTCTTCAGATGATAATGTGGCTTCTATTGTCCCGTTGGGTTTTCAGTTGGAGTTTCCTGAAGATATTGGTTCGTGTGACTTGTGGCAGATTAATGGTATTTGCAATAGATTTGGTAGGCAGCTGGATCTTATCTTTTGTTAAGATCCTGGTAGTTTCGCTGTGTCTTCTTGTGACCAGTTTATTTGTCGTCCGGATGATTACCATGCGCATAGCTCTATTATGTTTTCTGCCGGGATGATTGGTTCTGCTGTTGCGTCCGGGGGAGACAGGGTTTATCCTTTAATGTTCATGTGGCTGATTTTGGTATTATTTTCGTTTGCCTATTTTGATTTTTAGGTTATTACTTGAACATTCGTAAAAGTGGTAAAGATCGTCTTTAAGATACATCGCTTCATTTACAGAGCCTATTTTACAGAGATATTTATTCTTAACTGTTCGTCAACATGAAAACAACATCATTAACAGTAATTATGAACAGCAATGGACCTAAGTGGGTACCCTGGGCGACACCAAAATTAGCCGAAAGAGTTCAAGAAATTGCTGAACGAAAGAGTAAGTTCTGCAAGAAAGGTATGATTTTACCCATCCTAAAAGTAAGTTTCAACTTCAAAATAATTACGTCATGTGGTAAAATGTCAAAGGCTTTGCTTAAAGTCTGTTTAAGTCTGTAATAAGACTAATGTTTAAGTAAATATTATTATTTGTTATAGCCTAAAAAAAGTTTCAATAATATATACATGTATGTATATGTTCTTTAATTTTAGTTTTTGCAAAATATTTGAGCTAAACATATGTATATAAATAAATGTACAACATGTATAAAACTGCCAAAAAAATTCTTGCTTTGTATGGACATACTTACATCTGTTAAACATAATCCTGGAATCGTCCTAAAACGTATAGATTATGGTAAAACCAAATTCCAATTCTTAATAACAGTTATGTACATATTTTAAAATAATATTTATTCAAATTTTTACAAAAAACAAGCAAATATAGTAAAAGTACAAACTTATAATAATAAAAAGGAAACATTATGTAATTTTATTTTACGCACCATTTTTGTTTTATAAAATTAATTTTTTTCTAAAATTTAAAAGATAATAAGTCTGTAATTCAAAGATAATAAGTCTGTTATTTGCAATCAACTGAAATTGCACAAAAATTATTAATTTAAAACTTACTCAGCTATTAACTCAAATTTCGGATTAGTTTTGTGTTTGCAGCTATAATGTTTGCAAATAATGTTTTGAATTACGGGACTAAATTAATTTACAGATTTTTCATGTTTTACATGTATTAAATACATATACATACAAAATATTAAAATACAAGCGGCATATTTCCAACACATTATATTAGGTAATATCTAACTTATTTTTGAAAAAAAATTTACATGGTAATTCAGTAAATAATGTTTCAACATAAAAATCAAAAAGTAAACATAAAATGTACTCTTAGTCAACTATTTATGATAAAAAAAAGGCTTGGACATGGACATTTGAAAAAATAATAAGAGCAAAATGAAATTTCGTGTTGCAAATCTTTACTAAATATCGTCGCAATTTTGAGTTAATCTTGAGAAATTTATTTATATTACGTTACTCACAACGCGGCAGCTGATTTCGTGATTTCTTCTTGATTTTTTTGCTAGCAACATACTCTCAGGGTTTTTTTTTTTGATTTAATACACACAACATCATTTAGGACATCAAATGTTTAGGAATTTTGACAAATTTTCACGAAACTTTTAATTGCTTATATCAATTTTTTTCCTTGTAACTTCCCTTTAAAAAAAGATAGAAGGTTCCAACAAAGAATTTTTAAAAGGGCTTTCTAAAATTAGAATGCTTGATATTCCGAAAGTACATAGAACACTAAGTCAAATAATATGTTGATTAAAAGCCCTTTACTAGCCTTTAAAAAAATTCTTTATTTGAAACTTCTGTTTTTTTCTGAAAGGAAGTTACAAGTAAATGCCTATTTTTTATTCCGTAAGCACAGACATGTATCAAAGCACTGACTACTAAATCACCCTGCTAAGGCCGCCGCACCCGACTTCACTGTGTTTATTTCATTTTAAATCTAAAAAGCTAATAAAATACTTATAAATACTAGAATTTCTTAAACTTATTCTTGATTCACGATTTTTAATTGCCACTATAATTTAAGTCCTTGGTTAACAATATGTGTATACATATAGAGTAATGTTTTTTTAAAAGGTGATACTAAACCTACATATGTATACAAAATAATATAAGAAATAAAAAATTATTTTGTTATTGATTATTTTCAATAATCAACTTACTTTTTGCAAAAATTTTTATATTTTCTAGGCAGTATGCTTTTTTAAATGGTATTTCCAACTACTCCAGTGAGCAAATGACATTTCGCAATGATCGCATTTATATGGTTTTTCCCCAGTATGAGAACGTTCATGTGATTTTAGTGCTGTGGATATAAAAAATGCTTTGTCACAATAGCTGCATTTGTAAGGCCTCTCACCGGTATGCTCTACTCGTTTATGTAATACTAGTTTTGCAGAAGTATAAAAACGTTCATCACATTCGTCACAACGGTATGGCTTTTTATATGTATGTTTCAACAAATGTGATTTCAAACTGCTACTATTCTTGGTTATGTAAGAACAAAAAGTACACTTCAATGGTTTTATATCCATATGTCTCGTTCTTTTATGGCTAGATAATTGAGCTAAAGTAGTAAACGACATTTCACATTCTTTACATTTATACGGTTTTTCTCCAGTATGAATGCGCATATGAGTCTGTAAAGCAGCTGGGGTTGATAAACATTGACTGCATATTTCACATTTATGAGGAGAACCTCCCGTATGCTTTAATTGGTGTGTTTTTAAACTGCTAGAATGACCAAAAGATGCATCACAACTCTTACATTTGTAAGGTTTTTCTCCAGTATGCGTTCGTACATGAGCTTTTAAAGAAGTCGACTGAAAGAAAGCTTTATAACAGTAAGAACATTTGTGTGGTCTTTCACCTGTATGCTTAACACGTTTGTGCAACTTCAATTGACTTGATGTCGAATAAGCTACGTTTGGACAATCTGTACACTTAAAAGGTTTTTCTCCTGTATGAACACGCATATGAACCACCAAAGAACTTGAAGTAGTAGCTGCTTGACCGCAGATTTCGCATTTATACGGTGATTCACCATTATGCCGACGATTATGCGCCTTTAAAGCTAAAGCTGATCGAAGAACTTTATCACAAATACCACAACTAAAAGTTGGATTATCGTGATTTTTCAAATGGGTTTTTAAAGAAGATTTTTGACTAAAAGAAACATTACATAAATCACATTTGAACGGTTTTTCTCCTGTATGTGTTCGAACATGACCTTTTAATGAAACTGATTGATAGAAAGCTTTGTCGCAATATGTACATTTAAAAGGCCGTTCACCAGTGTGTTTTACTCTATTATGTAATAACAACTGTCCAGATGTAGCAAAAGCTGATCCACAGGTTTCACATTTGAATGGTTTCTCTCCAGTATGTGTTCTCATATGAATTACCATATTACTGGATGTTGATGTTCGGTGACCACATACATCACATTTGAATGGTTTTCCACCTGTATGTGTTTTTAAATGTATTCTATAATAACGAAGCGATGGGAATGTATCTTGACAATATTTGCATTTGTAGACAATACCATCGTGGATTTTAAGATGTGATTTCAAACTCGTTAAATACGCAAAGCTCATGTCACATTTGTCACATTTATATGGTTTTTCACCTGTATGCGTACGGATATGAATTTTAAGTGCAGTTGACTGGAAGAAGGCTTTCTCACAATAAGTGCATTGAAACGGACGTTCCCCAGTGTGCTTTACTCGTATATGCAAAACTAGTTGCCCTGAGGTAGCAAAAGCATCATCGCAATCTTTGCACTGATAGGGCTTCTCACCTGTATGGGTTCTCATATGGATTGCTAACGAGCTTGACGTTGTAGAAGTCTGTCCACATATTTGACACTTATGAGATCTCTCCCCAGTATGTGATTTTAAATGAGTTCGAACTTGAGATTCTGTTGCAAAAAGTTTATTGCAATATTCGCATTTGAATGCAGTTCCATCATGAAGCTTTACATGGTTACGCAAAGAACACGACTGACTGAAACGAGAATCACATTTGCTGCATTTGAATGGTTTATCACCAGTATGTGTTCTTGTATGGGATTTTAAAGCAGCAGAATGAAAAAATGCTTTATCGCAATAAGTACATTTAAATGGTTTTTCTCCCGTGTGCTTGGTTCTACGATGTATGAGTAATTGGCCAGAATTCGTGTATGCCGCATCACATTCATTGCATTTATATGGTTTCTCTCCGGTATGACTCCGCATATGAACTGCCAATGAACTAGATGTAACCGTATTAATTCCGCAAATTTCGCATTTAAAAGGTTTTTCACCAGTATGTACCCTCTCATGGTATTTCATAGATTGCGATTGGAAAAACGTTTTTTCGCAATAACTGCACTTATACGGTCTTTCACCAGTATGTTTCATACGATTGTGCAATATTAACTGTCCTGAAGATTTATAGGAAACATCACACTCCTCGCATTTAAACGGCTTTTCGCCTGTATGAGTTCTCATATGATAGCTAAAACTGCTAGCGGTTGAAATGCCTTTTCCACAAATTTTACATCTATAAGGCTTTATACCACTGTGACCCCTCATATGAATTCTTGCTTTCGAAAGTGTTGGGAACTGCAAACCGCAAATATTACATCTAAAACCGATTCCATTATGTATTTTTAAGTGTGATTTAAGCGACACTAAATGTAAAAATCCCAAACCGCATTTGTCACATTTGTGAGGTTTTTCTCCGCTATGACCTTTTAAATGGGTTTGTAAATTTTTTGCATACATAAAATGTTTTCCACAAAGTTTACAACGGTGAGGTTTTTCTCCCGTATGTTTCCTTAAATGAGCCCTTAAATATCGTGAGCTAGTAAAAATTCTTTGGCAGTATTGACATTCTTTTTGACAGAACTCTTCAACTTTAAAATTCGGATCTTCGTGTTTTTTTAAGTGCTCCTTTAAGCTATTAGAATATGAAAAACTTACGTCACAAGTTTCGCACTGATATGGTTTTTCTCCAGTATGACTTCGCAAATGCATTCGCAAAACACTTCTGCTTATAAAAAATTTTCCGCAAGTTTTGCAGCCAAACGGTTTTTCGCCAGTATGTGAGCGTAAATGAACTTTTAAATAACCAGATGAAGAAAAACTTTTATTGCAAATATTACAAGTTTTCGTAGTTAGCATTTCTGACATTTCTGTTGGATCTATAGCATTTGGTTTATCAGAAACAATAAAATATTCGTTAGTTAAACTTTTCGATAAACATTTCGTACGAAATTTAGCATCTGGATCATCGTGTTTCTTTGCATGCCACTTCAAACTTCCGGAATGAGCAAAACTTAAATCACATTGCTCGCATTTGTAGGGTTTTTCGCCAGTATGACTTCTTGTATGAGTATTCAAAGCACTTTTATCTGCAAAGAATTTACCACAAAAATTGCATCCAAATGGCTTTTCTCCAGTATGTTGTCTTAAATGTATGCGTAGATAAGTGGGAGTGGAAAACTTTCGGTGACAAAGCTTACATTGCTTCCGAAATTTTATTTTCTTACCTTTCTTATACCGCACTAAATCTTGTAAAAAGTCTTTCGCAAGTAAAAATCTTGGAAAGTATTTCTCTAAAACTAGTCTTGGCATTTTTTCAATTTTCACTAAAGGCTTAAGTCGCAGCTTAGGATCATCTCCACGATGCGGGTAAGAGACTTTGTGAGCTTCTTCAGGCTTGGGAACTACAACTGACTTATTTTCTAATTGATTTTGCGACTTTCTCTCATTTTCATTAATTTTACTAACACTCTCTTCAAAATTTATCAAATTTTTGTTCGATGCGGTGATATCATTTTCCGAATTATATACTTGAGTTATATTTTCATCAAAAAAAGTCTCATTTTTTAAAGACACTTCGTTTTTTAAATCTTTGTTTAATTCAGTTACATTTTTTTCATATAGACTTTCCCTACTTACAATTTCTGTACAACATATTGAATCGCCTCCTTCAATCGATACATCATCATCCTTATCATCAATTTCTATAATTTTCAAATCGTTAGATGAAGACTCTTGTTCACATACTTTTTTGGTATTTTCTTGTATTTTTTGCAATTTAACTTGGAACGCATAATTTACTTTTTCTTTTGTCAAATCTTTAAAGTTATTTAATTTTTTTTCTCTGATAATCGTCGGGGGAATCCACGTACTAGTAGTTTCAACGGTATTTTTATTTGAAGAAACAGCTATTTTGGCTTGCTGCAGCATTTCACTTGAGCTCATAGCATTAGTCGACTTCATAAGTGTAGTTTTGTTTAAATGAAAAGGTGGCAAAAGATGTGAAGATAAAGAAGAGTTTTCAAATACTGGGGAATTAGAAGATTGAGTAGAAATTTGAGTTGTTTGAATATTCGGATGTGCAGTATGAAAATTTGAAGAATTCGGAGCTGCAACAGTGTTTGGGGTGGAGGACAAATAATTAGATTGTAAATGATGAGATGAAGTAATTTGAGGAAGTGGTGGAAATTGTTCCTGTGCTATTTCGGCAGTCCACGTATTTCGATTTTCTGTCCTTGGTGGTGGTATTGGCGGTGGGTGCATAGGGTATTGTTGCGGGGTTGCACTTCGTGATGTCCACTCATTAGAACTCTCTTCATTTCGTGAAGTAGATCTTATAAGTTGGTAATTTTGAACTGATGTCGACCAAGAATTTGTACTTTCAATATTTTTAGATATACGTGGACTAACTTCATAATTAACAGATGGTTGAATGGAATGTTGCCATTGATTAGTCTGTGGTCGTATGACTTGAGTAGAATTTGAAGAAGAACAGTCTTGCATATCCGATTGGGAAGTCCATAACATATCCAGTGGTTGTATTTGTGAAATATGACGATTAAGGAAAACGTTCTCATCCATCGGTTGTTCATAATTAATGTTTAATTCCCGAGCTGTTGGAGGTGATTTGCACAAATTTTTCAATATTAATAATTTTTCTGATCTTGTAGGCGTTATTTTTGTTTTTGGACGTCTTCCTTTAAATAAAATGCAATTTAAATTAGTTTAAGATTCGTATTTTGAGTTAAGTGTGTAACATAATGCTTTAATAAATTATTTCGTTTTATTATTTATATTTTAATAATTGTAATAAATTCTTATTGAAATATGCCTAATTTCAATCTAACTTACTTTGAGGTGAAGCCGAAATACTTTTAGGTTTTTCTGCGGTTAGTATTTCATTATGTACTCTAATTTCATCTGTGGGGTTTTGTACAGATTTGCACTTTAAAAAGTGCTTGCAAAATTCACTAAAATTTTCAAAATGCTCTATATTACAAATATTACAAGAAATTGAAAATTCATTTAGTGATTTTAGGTAAAATATTTCCCCACACTTGTAATGAAAACTTGAAGCTATTTTTAAATTAGGCAAATTCTCCCCTTGTTCTTGTTTTATGGAAATGTCCATCCTATTTCATTAAAGCTCCTCCAATTTTATTGCTAAAACTATTATTGAAAGCATATTTAAAATAAATTATATTGATTATTTATATATTCATATGTTAAATTGTATGAAATTCTAATCTAATCACAAATAAATGTTACTACATCAATTACAATGTTTGACGTATGATTTTATTCCTTATGCCAATTCCTTTCCTTTTACTTTATGTATACTTACTTAAAAACATCTCACCCAATAAGCATTATTTAATTGTTTTGGTATTACAATGTGTAATTTTAATTTATCGTAGGTTCTTCCATAAACAATATTGATCACCAAATGTTCAAATGAATTTCTAATGTAAATGGAGAAAAAAAACGTCTAAATAAAATAACTAAACGTCAAGAATTCTCATTTGACTTTTACAGTAAGTTCAATCTGTCTAAAACAAAATATAAAAGTTCGAATGTCGCCGTGTTAAAATTTTAAATTGGAGTGTTGAAAAGATTCCCAAAATGGAGTGCAATAGACTTAGTACTTCCCAAATAATATAAAATGCGCAATGTTACCAAGAAAAAATGCATATTCACTTAAAACGCGCTTCTCTTTCAAGGTACGTTATTAAAAACTTTTATATAATATAAACATAAAGTGCAATGTTATAAAAAAAATAAAAATGAAAAGCTTCAACTTATATTTTTATCGTATAAGCAAAGATTCTGTACGTTTGTTTGTTTTTTTCAAAATGAAAATGTAACATTCACTAATAAGTACAAAACTTCTAAACGCCTCATTAAAATTAACAAAACAAATTTATTTTTTTTAATGTGTGTTTCTGCAATAAATAATGGAAATTTTGAATTGCATGTGTTAACCGGACACTCATGAGCAACACTCATGATCTTTTTAAAAAAAAAGTCCTTAGAATACCGTTTTTTATATTCCTTCAACTCCTCCCATTTTTCCCCTTTCTTGTTGTTATATTAAAAAATGGAATAAAAAAATAAATTTTCTACCTGTGGTAAGAATAAGCCCATCGTCCACAGCATTAAAAAATTTTTCCGAATTGCTTCAATCGGGTCAACTTCCATAAAATTCGTATGTTTTTCCTCAATTTATTTTCTAGTGAAATTATTTTTGAAAAAAACTATCAAAAAGGTAGATAATTTTTGTTTGCTTAATATTTTTTTATTTTCGTATAAGAGAAGAACATTTGAAGGCATTCAATTGCTCCTTTTTAGGCTCTTCTAATTAAAACCTTAAAAATAATTTTTTGCATAATTATAGGTATCTATAAATAAAAATTTTTCTTTTGCAGATTGGTTAAATGATATTACTTATATGTATATATATACATATATAAAAAAGTAACCAATAACAATAACTTATTTCTATGCTATGATTTTTTCAAACTTGAAATATTTTTGTTGCATATGTAACGTATATAAACAAAATTTTTACAACAAATTAGAAATACAAAAGGAAGGAGAATCTTGAAAAAAACAATGAAGCCAAATTTTTTCTAGTTGTCCCTTTCTTTGCTCCGAGAATTGTCCAAGTCGTAACAGGAGCGTATTTTATTTCATTTTTTTGTCTAGCCTCTACTATAAAATACATGTAATTTATAAGAAAATGAACATATTATTTTAAAAAATTTCTTATCAGTAAGAAACCAGTTTTGTTTGACAATTTTGCTGAACAACTCTAAACAATAAAAATATAAATACATATAAATTTTAATGACTCTAAAACAGTATAATTTTTGACAAATTTTAATTAATATGATAGTTATTACCCATTGAAGTAGGTGGTATGTTGTCCAATACAAAATATTTTAGAATATAAATAATTCACCCTTATATTTTATTTTACTTACTGAATGCTCCTTTCTTTGGTATCTCTAATTTGTTGGGTCTGTATTTCTGTCAGCCGTGAATAAAACCCATACGTATTATAGCTTGATTTCAATATGAATGTATTCTTTCGGAGCTTCATACTCATGAACATACTATTCATGAACATAATACAGGTGCTAAAGCAAAATTGTAAGGTATGCAGAGCTGCAAGGTTTTTATATTTTGTGATGTAAAATCAAAGATCAATATCATGTACAATGAGTGTTGCAAGTTCGGTATGTTGGTATAAACAATAAGTAAGACTTTGTCTTTGATTTAATTTATTTATGTAGTTTATGCAATTTTTACCTAGAGTAAAAAAACGACTTTTTCCGGAAGCCGTCCAGTTTGCAATGGAATTATCTCGAAAACGGGATAACGAACAAAGAATTATTAAGAGGTATTTTGAAAATCAACCAAAAGCTTTCAAATTATGAAATCTTTGAGTTGATCTGCAGTTGATAATGTGGAAAAATCAAATTGGTTAAATTTTTAGGTAATTGGTCACTTTGTCAAAAATTTGACATTTTTTTTATTTTTTCCTTAATAACTTTTACTTCAAATGACACCCTGGTTTTATTTTGAAATAAAGAGCTACTTTTCATTGAATATTAATTATTTAAATCGGTTAATAATTATGGAAGTTATAGCCATTTATGTCGATACATGTTTTTGTCGAAACCAAAAATTTTCAGGTATTTTAGGGATTGAATATTCATTTGCGGCTCCCCACTCCTCCTCAGGTATGTTTTTTTTTATAAAATGTAATATATGAAATATTTTATAATATTATTTATTAAACATTTTATAATGAAAATGTAATTCTTTCTCCTCCCGAAAAATCATACCACTTACTCTGTATATCTAAATGAAAAAATATTTCAATAGAAACAACTAATAATATTGTTGACACAAACAAAAGTTTGACACTTCCCGCGGAAAATCGCTCTTGTTTTTTTTTTTACCTTTGTGCTTGAACTCAATGCACACATTTTAATCTTTTAGTTTACCAACAAACATCCAAGTTATGAACTTTGCATTTTGATTATAATTTTGTTATCCTGTGTATGTAAAATTCAAATTGTGAACCAATAAAGATTGTGAATCACTTGACATGTATTGCTAATAGACTATATTATGAAAATTTGTGACATATTTTCTTACGGAAATGAACCCGATCAACCTGTAGTCCATAAAAACAAAGATAAAATAAATGTATCGTTCAATATTAATATTCTTGTTATTTTCTGTCGTGCTATGTAAAAAATCCAAGGAAGGAGAAAAGCCCGAGTGGGCAAAAAAGGATATTCGGGATTTTGATGATGCTGATATGGAACGTTTATTTGATCAATGGGAAGAGGATGAAGAACCATTGCAATCAGACGAGCTGCCGGAACACTTAAGACCTCCGCCAAAAATAGATTTATCTAATATCGATACTTCAAATCCTGAAAATCTTCTAAAAATATCAAAAAAAGGGAAAACTTTAATGACTTTCATCAATGTATCCACTGATAAAACGAAAGAGGAAGCTGAGGAGTTAACAAAATTATGGCAAACAGGGTTATGGAATAATCATATACAAGCTGAAAGATATATGGTCGATTCACATCGAGCAATATTTTTGTTCAAAGACGGAGCTCAGGCTTGGGAATCAAAGACATTTTTATTGCAGCAAGAATTTTTAGAAAGTATGACTATAGAAAATAAAGTATATGAAAGCGAAAAAAAACATGTAATAGATGAATTATGAAAAGAATTTATTTGATTTTTATTGGTGAACGTAATGTAAATTAAGTTAATTTGCATAAACATCATTGATACATGCAGATTTATGCTATTGAAATTTTATAAGGCAAAGTGTTTCTATATACATAGTTCGTTAAGCTAAAATCGAATTTAAAATGTTACTGAAAGAAATGCCAGAGTATTGAAATATATAAAACTTAATACAACAAATTTTATGTGCATGAAATCCATTTATTCTCTGTGTAAATCTAATATTTTTGAAAATTGTTTCTCCCCAAGGCAAATAATTTGACATTGTTCTATGCAAGTGTTTTGCCTTTTTAGATTATCAATCAAAAACAGCTGTTTTTTATAAGCGTTCAAGAATTCATTCCGCTGTCGTTTTAAATCTTTAACTTGCTTCTCTAACTTTTCTTGCTCTAACCGATACGTTTCCAAATTATTGCGTTCATTGTTTTTAATTGAGTCTATTTGAGTTTTAAATTTTTCAATCTCTTCATTAGCTCTGTATAAGCGTTTTTCCAGATTTTTATTAGTTTGATTCAACACTTTAATTTCACGTTTTGAAATTTCTATGTTACGTTTGTATTGATCAATTTCAGAATCAGAAGTTTTCAATTTCTTTTCATATTTAATTAATTTTTCATTGAACTTTTCCACCTGATCTGTTAAAAAGTTATTTTTTGAAAAAGCATTATCGCGTTGTGTTTCCAATTTTTGTTGCATTTCATAGCTACGTTCCAAATCCTTTGTTTGTTTAGTAATTTCATTTTTTGTATTTAACAGTTCTACCTCTAATATTGAGACCTTCGATTTCAAATACTTTACTAAACCTTCATTGCTCAAAGTCTTTTTTGCTGTAATATCAGTATTCGCACTGCATTTTTTTGAAGTTTTTGTTGAAGTTGATTCCGTTTCTACGTTTTGGTTTAACTGAATAGGATAAGAATGTGTAGATTCAAAAGTTTGATTTATTTCGATTGGTCTTTCATTTAGTTTCTTTTCTAAATCAATTTCGTTTTGTGCACATTTTTCGGAAGTCACACTATCTACTCTTAATTTATGTGCCTTACTTTCTTTCACTTTGCGGATCGTCAAAGAATCTCTCAATCTTTTTGGAACTGTGTGTGCTTTTACAACTTTTTTTCCATTTTTTTCTGAGAGTTCAATATTTTCATCAATGTTAGATTCTTTTTCTTCTATAAAAATAATTTCTGACTTGATTTTTTCCAGTGACGCATCATCGTTACCTTCAGAACTGGGTCCCGTTTGCAAAATTCCATTTGAAAACTCATTTTCAGATATTTGAACTGATTTTTCACTCACTTCCAAAACAGTCTTAGCTTTCCTATTAGTTAATATATCTCGAAATCTTTTCGGAATGGTATTTGACTTATGAAATTTAATACTTGTGTCATCTTTTTCCGGAATTTCACGATTTTCTCTTCCGTTATTTATTATCTTTGGTTTGGGGGTTTTAATATTATTCGATGATAAATTCGAAGACTTTTCAATTATTGATTTTGTTTTTTTATCTAGTTCCTCATTTAACTTTTGAAACTCTTTTTCACGTTTCAATATATCTACCATTATTTTTATTTTTTTAATTTATTCCTTAAGTTAGTTATTTACGTAAATTGATCAGTCATTAAATAATTTTTGTATCTCTATGGAGATATTTTTATTGAAAAAAATAATATTACCTACCTACCTATTGTAAACCATTATTATGCATTTTTTATAATTTCCTAGTTCCTAAGCAAATTAAACAACCATTTTTTTAGTAAAATTGTAAATTCAAGCCTGCAATTTACATATGTATGTACTTATAAAAATCAGATCGTATCTATTTCTACAAAATTATATAGATACATTCCCGCTTACGTTAAAAAACTTCATATTTTTTTGGTCTATATTGATAAAAATTAATAACAAATATCTATTTTATTGAAATGAAATATACGCATATACATATTTTCATAAATTAATCAATGAGGCTTTGGCTTGTGTCCGTCAACATAAAAATTTCTTGTTGCTTTTGGTAGCTCAAGCGTCATACCATTCATTTCTTTGGTCAAAATAATTTGACAACCTAGTCTGGAATTTTCTTTTAAAAAGGGTGCCATATCGAGGAGATCGTCTTCTTTTTCAGTGGATTCTGGTATTTTATCTAAATAACCTTCCGCCACATAAACATGGCATGTTGTGCAAGCCAATGACGCTTCACAAGCACCTTCCATTTCTATACCATAACGATGAGCTAAATATAGTACGTTATCACCAACCTTGCCTTTTACTACAGTTTCCTTTCCATCTTTGCCAATATACTTAATATGAACTACCTCACTCTCAGATTTCGCGTCTTGCCATTCATATTCGCCATGATAATCTGGACGACAAGTACTTATAATGCGTTTATTGATAGTGTAAAGCGGTTTCAAAATACTACGTACATTAAATTGGCCAAGCATTCTATAAAAACAAAAACATCAAAAATATTTTTGAGAACTTATTATAAGTAATATGAAAAATTTTATATGGGAATCATGAAACATATATGTTGTATGTAGATCTTAAATAAGTTGGTAAGTTGGTTCTGCAAATTTTTGTTTCAAAGAATCGCTTTTTTAATCACAAATAACCTGTTAGTTCAAAAATTAAGCAATAATTACGTACTCAAATGCTCCAATACCAAACAAAGTTTATTTTGTGAACAAAAGGATATGAATTCAAATTTTCTAAAATTGAAACTTATACCATTTTGAAAGATATTCCTTAAAGATAAAAACAAACAATAAATTGTATACAAAAAGATAGCAATAACAAAAAATAAAATGACAGACGAAAGCACAAAGTATGACTCAAGGCTCACTTTAAATACATAATGGACCTACTAAAATATTAAGTTTATTCCTTAATTGAATACGTATAGTACAGCGTATAGTGTGCAGAACTGCCACTTATAAAAAAATAATTATAACACAATGTGCCAAAAGTTCAATCATGAGGGTCAAATTTAAAAACGAGAGCCAAAATCGATAAAATGCTTAGTTTTGCGAGTAGAACACTAATTTGTGGTCTAATTCTAATTTCAGTTTTTTTTAATTTCATATTATTTTATTACAGAAAGTCCTCCTTCCTCAAAACGAATTTACCCGAAAGAAGGAAAAAATTGTTTTATAGTTTTTACTAATTAATTAGATGTGTAGCTATGTTTATATAAACAACTTAAAATAAAAGTTGTTTATACGCCATGAAATTGCTTTGTTTATATAAAATAAACACTATTTACCAACCCACATGTACAAATTCCGGTACGCAAAGAATAACGTAACAACAAGTAACGGGATAAAACTTGAAAAAACTTTATAAATATGTGATAAACGTCAACTTTCAAAGTATTTATCAAACACAAACAAATATTTTTTGGTTGTACTTAAAATCGAAATTTTTGATTTTGGATTGTAAAAGTGTGAACCTTAAAAAAAAACATTTGGAAACCCATTTTAGTTATTTTATTTTATTTTTAATTGAAAAGTTTTGAAAAAAAGTTATTGTGGCTGGAATTATTTTTTTTTTTAAGATAAAACCTTCTGGCATAACCAAGAAAAACATATGTATGTTTCGACAGCTGTAAGATTTTAAAAGTTTTAAAACACTAAATTTTACTTTACAAAACTGTAAAAAACTTTCAGTATTGTGAAAATGAGAATGTCATCATTTTCTCTCATTTTTGTTAAAAAAGTAGTATCTCAGACGCTTTGTATGCAAAAACTTTATAAAGTGTTTAAAAGTTTTTATTTCTTTCTAAAAAAAAAAAACTAGTTTAAGTTCTTATTTCTTTTTTAATTTTTCCTCGAAACACGAAATTTCTCGAAAATTTGTCTTATTTTTTTCGATGTGCTGCAATGAGAGCTAAAAGTAAGACCATATAACAAGTTAAAACATGTCCAAAGTGTTGAACTGTGACTTTTTATTATAATATCATCGAATTGGTCAGGTCCACGGTTGACACATATTTTTGTTATGTCAAGGTCAGGTCTGAAACAAAAAAGAAATTGCTTTCTTCCTTATATCAAAGGCAAAATAAAATCTTTGCTTATATGTAATAAACAAACTATACAAAAAGGAAACGAAAAAACATGGGAAAATATAAAAGAGAAAAAAAGCGTTTTTCAATGCTTATACATACATTCGTAAAAACGTATCTTACAAAGTGTATACAGATTTTGCTCACAAATAAAATAAGTCTGCTACACAGCAAAACCTTTACATATTATTCTTTATAATATTATTGTTATTATAATGTCTTTATATCTAACAAGTCCCAATGCTCAGAGAGAAACTTGAAAGCACGACCTTATTTTATATGGCTTTTTTTAAATCGAAGTGGCTATTTTTTGAGAAGAAATATTAAAATAAATTTATACTTATTATAAAGCAGGTAAAATTTAGAAAATATATTTGAAAAATCAAAAAAATATATTAATATTTTCATTGATAATTATTTTAAAATTTAAAAAAAAGCGGAAAAACAACAAGCACATCCTTTGCCTTCAACATTTTATATGTTACTGAAAGCATTTCATTATTTTTAAGTGAACAGCTTTTTTTTCTCATAGGGTAAGTTAACTCAAGATATGGGAAGTACCTGTGGTGTCAAGTTGAAAATATAATTAATGAAAGATAATTATTAAATATTGATATAAATACGTAGTAAAGAAAAAATTTGAAGAGGGAATTAGAAAATAATATCTAAAATACAATCAAATATTAATTGTTAAATACAAATTTTATATAAACTTCAAAATTTTACCTCTATTTTTATTTGAAAAAATATTAAAAACTTACTATCATTTATATTAATTACCTAAGAAAAAAAAATATTTAAAATGTTTGGAAAAAACAATCATATATTTTTATGACCGGATTTGAATATTTTTCAATTTTTGAAATAAATGGTATTTTACCAAATGACTCAAAAATTCCGACTGTAAAATAACAGGTATTTTAAAATTTTTGTTCAGGTATTTTGAAATTCTTTCCGTTTAGAATTAAGATAGGTCATACATACACATGCAGGGATAACATGTTTGAAATAGTTTTAAAATAATTATTTAAAAAAAAATTTATTGGAAGTAGGTACATACATATTTATTTTTAATAACTTAAAAACTAACTGAAATTATTTGAAACAAACTTATAAGTAACGTATAAATAACCGAAATGAGATAATTCAAATTGTTGAAATGTGTCAACCTATATTACTTTTAATAACATTTTTGTTAGCCGACACTACTCAACTTGCCTTATTGGGAAATACAAAATGTGCATGAAAAATCATACATCCTTCCTCATTAACATTTGAAACCATACTGAAATATGAATTTGAAATTTTTTATCATTTTTTCTTTCCTCCTACCTTTCTTTCTTTTTCATGCAATAGAATTTAAATGGGAAGCTTTTTAAAAAATGTGTATAATATCCTGAGATTTTTTAAAATATTAATCTCTTTTTTACGTAAAAAAAAAGAAAAAAATAATAAAAAATATGACACGATCAGTGGCATTTAAAGAAAAAATCAACAACGAGGCCAAAAATTCGTAATATTTCGTAAAAAAAATTGACTCATGTCTCAATTTTGTTTGAATATTTTCGAACATATTTACATTCAGAAAGATCCGCACTAGAGGCTTCTAGTTAAAATGAAATAAAGAAACGTACACATTTATGCATGTATGTAAATGCGTATGTTTGCAGTTAAAACTGAATTGAAGCTTTAACTCATATAAACACTACTTCACTTGAAATTTTTTGAAATTTTCAAGTCAAGTCGATCCAATGAAATTATTAGCATGACAGATAAGACAGAAAATGACAAATTAATATATATTATGCTTGTTAAACTCTAATCGATTTCAAGTATACAATATATGACAATATATGACTGACTAATCGATTTCAAGTATACAAGTATACAACACTGACTATATTTCAATCAATATAGTCAGTGTTGGGATCAATAAAATCTATAAAGGGCTAAATTTCAGTGGAAAAAAGGGCCAAAAAGAGCCAAATTCAATTATTTTAACTAACTATAATAATAACTACAATTTGAATAATAAACTAATTAACTAATAATAATGACAATTTTTCTGCTTTAAATATGTGTGTATTTTGTGTTATGTGACTTTTGACTAGCGTGTCAAAAATGGAGCCAAAAGAGTTTCCTTAGCCAAAAGAGTTAAACAGTAACATATACTTTTTTATTTTCATTTTTATGCACATATGAATTTTTGAAAGAGAAAAAAAGTACGTAATAGATGTCTACCTGGTTTATAATGTATTTTTAGAGGCGGACAAAACCACTTTTTTGTATATAAAGAATTGTGAAAAATATTAAACATTTTAAAGACTCACAAACCATTTCTGTATATTATTCTAGCACAAGGTGGCAAAAGTGGTGTATCCATATTATAAAAACGAAAAGATTAAAAAAATGAGTATTAAAATAAAACAAAAATATGAATTTTTGATATTATGATTAACGAATCCGCCTAAATTATTGGTGAATGAGGTGTCAAATCTGTCGAATGAAGTGAATTTGAAGCGTGGTTAACGATTGTTTTGATCCGCATGTTATAAAGTATTTGTATCCTACAGTCATTTTTTCGGGTACAGGTTTCCCACGCTTAACTTAATACAGATTTTTTTTTGCGACATTATTTTATTATCGTAAATTTTTCCCTCACTTATCGTAATTTTTTTTACCTTATTTTTTTAGAAAAATAAACACCTTTGGCAATCTTTTTACAGGTGGTACCTATAATAAAAAAAAACATTTTGCCATATCTAAAACTGTCAATTCATAAAATTTAGGAACACTTGACAAGTGGTTCTATTTAGTATAAGTACAGCTATAGATGTAAAGAAGTTACCGCCGGGTACAAAATATTGAAGGGCAAAAAAAAGATCTTAAAGCAAAAATTAATTCATAATCTTGTACCAAATTCAGTTGATGTCATTGAAAATGAAAATCACAATAAAAAATAAATTTAATTACCTACATATGTATGTGTATGGAATCAAAACATGTTATGATATAATATAATATTAATACGTTACTACTTGTGATTTTTATTTTTATTGAAATATGTAATGTTCCCATTTTTGATTTTTTTTTTGAAGTATGTATTGAAATCTTATGTTGTTTTACTAACGAAAACGTTTCATGAAATAAAAGTTCATGTTTTTCTTTAAAAAATTTGTTTACGATTATGTACATATAAAATTTTTTTTCATAGTCTCTCTTAATGTAATTTCAGTTAACATAGGAAATTTTGGGTGCCAAAATTTACGTTAAGTGAGAGATAGCTGTATGTTCTGTGTCCAGAAAAAGCTTTTGCGGTATACGTACATATACATATGTCGTCTATATGTTAGACTTTTTTTTGTCATCGAAGGAAGGAGGAAAGCATGAATGCTACTAACATGCCATTCTCTGGGAACCCACAGTTAGTTATGTTTTACGGAGAAAACCTCCTCTTTAAATTTTGATACTAGTCCCCTTAGACCAACCATCAAATTTTCTTTAATATAGATTAAAAGAGATTCAACGCTCCCCGATTTGGAGAAGCGCATTTTGAGCTAAATCAGAAGGCAAATTTTTCTGTAGCCTTCTGATTTAGTTACTTATTTGCAACTACATAATTTTTATTTCGCCTTTTTTTTTATTGGAAATAAAAAATCTTCTAATAAATACTACAATTTTAAAAAATTCAATAACTACTTCAACTACAACTTAAATATACGCAAACATACATACAAACATATACGAAAAACATGTAAAACGCATATCTACATACCTTAACATAACGAAAATATCAATACCTGGACCCAGTGTTACCAAATAGATTGGCCCAAATATCTTCATGAACGATTCAAGATCTTCAATTGAAGTTTAATTGAACGAAGTAGGAAGGCAAAATATCAATTCGAATCCAATCAGACACCAAAAAGAAAAACTAATGACATGCAAAATGATGTATGATACCGGAAAACCTTCATTTTGAAGATAAATCTTCACTTTTGACAGCGCCTGGACCGTTTTTTTTTTTAGTCAAATAACACTTCTAAATAATCTTTTTTTTTTCCTTTTTTTTTTTTTTTTTTCAAAAAATGATGCTTTTTGCATATAATCATTTCGAGTTTTCTATGAAAAAAACTGACTAAACCTTACAATTTTTATATTAAAATGAAATTTAAGTTTTCTGAGTAACATATCGAAAACTTGACTATAATTTTGATGTGATAAATATATTTTCGAATTTATTCCTCATTTTTTTAAACCGCCATGTCAGGCAACATATCTGAGAGAACTTAGAGTAAAAAATCATATTACATTGAATGAAAAAAAATTTTCATTAGTCTAGAATACGCGATTTAAAATAAGTTAATAAAAATTTTATTAGATTTTAAGTTAGCATTTAAATTTTTAATCATTAGATTATTATATTTATAATCATTAGATTAAGTTTGAATAATTACTTTAGGTATTATTACAGCGCTTTTGTAATTTTATAATCATTGTAAAAAAAGCGTCTTTCTAAGTTGTCCCCTATAATGAAATATAATAAAAATATTATGAAGCTTTTAAAATTCCTGGCACGGTAGTTTAGATAAATTTGTGAATTAGACTTACTTACAAGGCGAAGATATTTCCAAATATATGTACATATTATGAAAAATATATAGATATAATACGTAATTATATCAGAAGTATGCATTTTGGGAGGCATATATAACATATCGTTAATATCAAATGTACATTTTTTCTAATTTGAAAAAATACACGAAAATCAAGTTAATACTTCAAAAACAAAAAATTTGCACTATTTGTTTTTCTATAGTATAGCATATTTTATTGAAATCGTAAAAAAATGAACAGCGCCTGGATCAATTTTAATTCAATTTTTTATTGTTTTAATAACGCAAAACTTCAAGAATATAAGCACTAGTAAAGTAGAAAAGGATTGAATTTTACCTTTTTCTAATTAAAAACTTTATAAAAGTTTATTTTGAAATTTATGATGTTAAAAAGGGCCCTGTATAGCTTCCATAAGAATACGTGTAATTTCGTCTGATATGACTTGTCACTCTCTTTTAGGGTCCAAGCCTGTATTTTTGTCAGCCGTGGTACATATGTTGATGTAGTGTGTATAATCAAAATTCACAACGATGATCTGTTACAAGATTAAATTCTGTTACAAAACTATTTATATAAACTTTACGAAATTAATAGACTAGCAAAACCTTTATGACGACAAATTATTTTTCCTAATAAACATACAAATATATCTATTAATTAACACGTTCATGGACGTGGATCTGTTGCTGAAACTATAATAACCGTTAAAGTAAAGTATAATTTTTTGACAAAAAACTACATCATATAGACATGTTTATTTATACGTATATGTACAGAATAAATATTGTATTTATTTAGTATAATACTTACGTATATTATTTTATATATGTATGTAAGTATGTTATACATATGTTTATTATTTATATTTCTAATTTACATGGGTTAATATTATGCGTTTATTATTACACAATTTAATTAAAACCGTATCAATAGTATTTACTAAGGATGGTTTTTGTATTAAAATGTTCGGCACACTTCAATAGTTTTTTTGTATTTCTTTTATTTCTGAAATTTGGATTATTTTTACTTTAACTTTACTTTTCACGTAGATACCTATACTATTATATATAATCCACATTTAACTTTGTATCATGATGTTATAAATAGCTCTTACAAAATAAAATTTCAATTTACTTTAAATAAACGAGAGCACGAAGTCAGTAAAGTTTGGCTGTTTAATTGTTACATTATAATAATTGAGATAATTATCGGTGAAGTGATTTCATACCAATTTTACTAGCAAAGTCGTTGAAACATTAAACGGAACCGTCAATTATTTAGTTTAAAATTATTTTAACATGTCAATCAAAGGAAGAACATCATATCCTCAAAATAAGTATACATAGCAAGATGACTTCAAAAGTTTTATTGTTAGCTTTTATTTTGTTATTCAATTTGATAAAGTGTAACCCTTCCGGGAAAAGAATGAAAAATATATTTTTAAATAATTCGAATACAAATATTAAAAAAGTTCCATTCAACAATAGTAATACAAACAACACCCAGATTCGTGGCAATGACAAAAATAAAAATATGTTTTTAGAATTAGATAACGTGAGAAAACCAATAACACTCGAAAACGATCGCAGAACTATGAACAATACCGAGAAGGTAAGTAAAATATTAAAATACAAAGGTTTTGCAAAGACGGGGGGGTTCACATAAACTTATTTTCGAGCTACTGCCTTCTTCGCTTGAACCATGCCACGTAGAGTACCCACCAGGAGCTTGTTTTACACATAATTGATTGCTCCTTATTTTCGGTTTTTCAATCAGCTAGATTTGAACCATAATTTTCGAGATAAAGCGCGTTAAAGTCAAAACTTTTGTTTCCTTTTTTTTTTAATTTTTTTTTAAATTTGTGTTATTTTTAGAGTAAAAGGTAAAAGTTACATTGAAAGGTAAAATTTAATATATATAACGTTTTCCTCTATCTCATAAATTTTCCAGTAAAAAATCTATTACAAACACATACAGAGTTTATACAAACATAACATACACTAAATGCTTTTAGTTTAGTGTTTATAATAAGGAATTTGTATGAAATGTATGAACTATGGCATTATACGAGTATTAAAAACTATGAGAGACTGGAAAAAATTATATGGGATAACTTTTAACTTTTATTGTAGAGCATCGAAAAAAAAACTTCGAGAAATTTTGAGTTTTTTTTTTAAAAACAATAAAAAAGAAACAAAAATTTTGATTTTGACGAACTTAATCTCGAAAATTATGGCTCAACTCTAATTGATTGTAGGATCAAAAATGAAGAGCAATCTATCATCTGTAATACAAGCATCCGATGTTTACTCTACGCCGCATGGTACCGAATCTACAAGCATTTATTTATATACAGGAAAAATCTGGTATCTTTTTTTTCCATGAGGCTGTAGCTTGAAAATGAGTATATCTGCATAATCCCACCCATTAATTTTTTTGCTGGAAATTGATCAATCCATCATCCCTGAAATATTTGCTACTTTATGTGAAACACCCTGCATAGCATACATATATTCATATATACTTATATACCTACATATGAATCAATTTTCTTTCAATTTTCGTCTGAACTTTTTTCAACTACTTCAGAATAAACAAAACAATCATAGGAATGATGGAAATTTTGAAATTAATTATGTTGAAGAATATGGTGGCCATAATGAAAATGAATTTTCTAGAAGTTATCACAATAAAGGATCTAAAGGATATGATGATAACGAAATGTTTGACAAGGAAGATGGAAGGGATTATTTTATGAAAAATGGAGACGATATCAGTCAAATTAAATTAGATAAGAGTTTGGCCAATACTGGTAAGTTTTATCATGTTGATATAAAGAAAAATATGTTTGTATTTGTTAAGCGAATGATAATATAATATAATTATTAATATTATAACATAACGGTAACACATCAATGGCAATATTTTTCTAATTACACATTAGGGATAGGAAAAAAATATAAAGTTCACAGTCAAATATTCAAAATTCCAGCGAATAAAAACCAGAGTCAAGAAAATCATCCAACTAGTTTAATTTTGCAAGAAAGAAACTCATCAATATCAAAAAGTCCCATAGTCAAATCCAAAAGAGCCGATGAGAAAAACTATGAAGTTCATAAGGAAAAGGCAAAAAAATTTAATAAAGCTAAATATAATAGTAATAAATACGATTCGAATATTGACATGCCAGATATTCAAATCCCAATTAACCTCGGCAAACATACAATACACAATAAAAAAAAAATTGAAACTTTAGTCAAAGATACCACAAATTCTGAAACAAATATTAAGCCATTACAAGCTGATGTTCATGGCGGTTACGAAGCTTTTATCATTCATAAGGCGCCTAATAAAAACAAAGGAAAAGATCGCAAAAATAAAAAAAATTATAATGAAAAAGATTATAAGAGCACTGAGAATGAACATAATTCCTTAATCAATTATTTCCCAATTATAAAAACTACAAAAAATCATCGACACAAATCGAAGAAACAGAATAAAAGTAAATCACAAAAAGATGAAAATGAATATGATCACTATAGCTACAATTACGGTAGCAATGATGACGGTGAATACAGTGATGACGAGAATTATAAGAATTCGAACAATAAAGATTATAGCGAAAAATTTTATAATGATAACAGTAAAAATGTTATAGGTTCCGACAAAATTTATGATTATGAAGATGAAACAAACAACGACTTTGAATACGATGACGGTGTTGAAAGTGGTAACGAAAATAGCGAAGGAAATGAAAACAAGAACAATGAACGTGACGTTTTAAAAAAATCTGGCGAATTAGAAGCTATAATACCTATTAAGAACATAAGAAAAGAAGTTGAGAAAAATGGCAGAGAAAGATATAACGAAAAAAAAAATATAGATAAATCAATGAAAAATCAAGAAGCTAAAACTTATAAAAAAAATGAAGAACGAATTGAAAGGTCAAAAAGAAATCGTAATTTTGCCCATGTCACACCTCAAAGTGGTGAAATACCAAAAATTAAATTAAATAAAAGAAATGGAGCCTCCGACAAAATATATACAAATTACAAAACTAGACAAAAAATGAATGAAGGAGTTATTCAAAATAGGAGCAAGTCTAAACCCGATGCTTCATTAAAAGGTAAAAACAGTTAAATCATATAAAAATATTTATTCAAGGAAACAAAATACAACAAAATTTAAGATTTAATCTGAGTCTGATAAAAGTCGAACATATATGTATGTATATATGTATATGTATATGAGAAATTGTAAACGCTGTTTGACTTTGACATTAGACTTTGTTAAACGGCAAATAACAGAAAGTCTCATAGAGAATACTCTCTAACTATGGAAATAGATGATCCCTAAGGGAAAAATGATCCCTTGTCATAGCAACTGCTGTTAGATATTAGTAAATAGAAAAAACCTTAAAAGTTGAATCAATGAAGTAATTTTTCGCAAAAAAGCAAAAAAATTCTCATTTAAAAAAAAATAAACCAGATGGAAAACTAGAAAAAACTTTTTATACATACATATGTGTTAAAAATTTTAAAGTATTTACCAAACATAAACAAATATTTTTGTGTTATTCCAAAAACAGAAAATTTTGATTTTGGATTATGAAACTTAAAAAAAAAACCGTTTTTGAATACATTTTTTTCATCATACCCGTACGAACGTATGTCCGAAGGGTATGAAATTTGCCTTACCGTTTGTAACGCTAAGAAATACTGGTCTGAGATATAGGCTGAAGTGTATGTTTTCGATCAGCGTCGAATTCTGAGTTGATGTAGCTTTGTCTGTCCGTCCGTCCGTCCCAACGATAACTCTAAAACTAATTCAGCCAAGTTCACCAAATTTCCACGAATGATTTATTATAGTAAATTTGAGAGCCCTATTTAAATTGGATAAGATCGGGGTACTGATACGGGTAGCTGCCGTACAACTTCAAAATTTATTTGACTATATCTTAGAAACTATAAAAGCTGTAATATTGAAATTTCATACAAATAAATATACAAGTAGGACCGATGTGTTTGATAAAAGTCGTTAAAATTTCTTGACCCCTTCTGTTAGCTGCCATACAACTTCAAAAGTTATTTTACTATAGGACCAATGTGTTTAATAAAATTCGTTGAAATTGCTTGGCTCTTTACAGAAATTAATACGAGTATGGCATCTTAAAGTCGTAGTTTGTCCCATAGTCAGCTGTGGCATATTTATTCACACATAGGATAATAAATTCATACGGGTATCACAGAGTTGACACGGTCAAGTTGATTTTTTTCTCTTTTTAGCACTTTCCAAAAAATTTTTGAAAAAAAGTGCTTATTAGTTTCACTCTGTCCGTCCGTGGACACTGTTTTTGTTTACAAAACTTCTACACCCTTGAAGATAGAAAACTGAAATTTAATACATACATAGATCTTTACTAGAAACTTATTTCCGTAGAACAAAATTTTTACCTATCTCCCTCCTCTAGAAGTTATACCCCCCAAAATCCTAAAAATGGCCTTTTTTAACTATTTGTTGCAATGAAACCATAAGCATTTTTGAAATTTTGCAAACGCAGAAAGGCAGTGGCTTGCTTCCCCTAGCGAGGTATAATATAGTTAAATTTTAGAAAAACAAAATGGCCGTTCAAATTTACAGTTAAAGTCCTTTTTTTCCAAATTTCTGATATCGTTTTTCTTTTAGATTCCAGCCTGTAGAAGCTTGAAGCTTTAGGGGTTTTTTTTTTCATCTCCACCCACTCTCAAGTTATCGCCTCTTGAAATTTGTAAAATTTGAATTTTTGACACCTTATATTTCCGAAACTGCAAGCTTTTCAAATTTCTATAAAAGCAAAAAGCTAACGGTAAATTCCATGACATTAAAAAATATAATTATTTTTCTTAACAATTAAATCTCAAAATCGAGCATTATGTTAACCTCTCTTTAAATTAATGCTTGCTTTCCAAAGACTGCATAAATCGTTCATCCTAAATATATGCAATCCTAGAAATAGTTTTGTATATGAATGAAAATAATTTTAATAGTGTGGTAGGTACACATAAACTGTATTTAAAAGCAGAATTTTCACTTGTTGAAGGGAAAAGTGCTACAATACAAACCATTGGTTTGACCCAACATTATTATTTTCTTTTTAACTGAAGAGTTTTGAAAACAAACTATTGTTGATGAAAAAATTTTTTTTTTTTCAAAAATAAAACCTTCTGATATAACCAAGAAAAACATATGTTTCGATAGCTGTAAGATTTGAAAAGTTTTTAAAAACTTTTTTATTCCAGACAAACCTACATATTTTAAATATAAAATGACGAACTGTGATTTTAATAGCACCAGACACTATTTTATAGACTTATGAAACAGTTTATTTTTTTTTATTCATACAAAAAAACGTGAACATTTTATTTTTCTACTTTTCAGCTTTTTAAATTCTACCAACTAGCACAATTGTTAAATTTTTATGTAAAGTCTGAGTTGAGATAATTTGAATTTGATATGTAAACAGTTATCAGATATCATCACAGATTTAATCTTAAATTTTGTGATGTCTGTCTGGTCCGAGAAAGCTTTTAAAAACAATTCATAAAATTTCAAAAATACATAAACTAATGCCTTATATACATATCTATCAGGCCACTGAGCTCAGAGAGCAAATCAAAAATAAATTCCAAATTTATATAGAGTTAAAATGGAAAGAATTTCGGAAATTATTTGTGCGAAGGAAATTGATCAATATTTTTAGCTTTACTGATTCTACATATTTTTTTAAATTTAAAATTTAAATTTCAAAAAAATCGGTTGGTAAATTCCATCTGAAAAATGTATTTAAAAAAAAATTGCAATTTTTTGCGCAGACAATCTTTCTTGTCTTCCAAGTGGAAGGGTACTAAATTAGAGAATAAAATTTTTAATAATAAATTGAAAAAAAAGCAATAATTATAATAATTTAGATGACTTTTAAAACCATACTAAAGAAACAGAGAGTCGCAAAAAATACTCAAAAATTTTACTTCGAAAACATAAAACAAGAAGAATTGTTTTTGTAATTTTTTTGCAATTTAAAATTTCGGAAAATAATTTCAGTTTGGTGGTCTGATAGAAATATATGGCATTGCATAAACAATTTAATTAATTTGTGAGATTGCATGAGCTCCAATGGTAGCGTCTATGAAACTTCAGAGAATATTTAGCCATATTTTAAAAATGAATCAAGTTACATTGCGAAAATTTAATATCCATTATGCAATATATTATATTATTTATGGAAGTTATATGAATGAATAATTGCAAATTATAATTTATAACTATAACTACCGATATACATAGTTATGCATACACATTCACATATTTGCCAAACGGATTGATTAACAAGATAAGTTGTAGGTCATACGAAATTTTTCTAATCCTAATATCAGCACTGCTGAATTGGACGAACATCAATCACGTTTCTATTATATATCATATCTATGTATCTTAGGCTATTGTAGTAAAAAAAGCAAATAAGTAAATAAATAAATCACGTACAGATAATACATTTATTCAAACTAAAATAAATATATGTATACATATGTGTGCATAAACAAACTAACAGGAATAACTTATTTTGTTTAATATCTAAAAAGTTCTTTTAACTGTTTCACAAAATTATTGATACTCATATTTCAAAATTTATCTGCCACTATTCAAGGGAGCAACTCAGTACCATTTGATAATTAAAAATTTCGAGTAACTGATTAAAAATTAAAAATTTAAAAAAAGATAAACATATGGAAAAAGAAATTAATTGTTATAATCATTATTTTTTTAAATTTTGCCTACTCTTATATTAAAGTTATTAGCAAAAACATTCGTCAATTAATAAAAAAAAAAACAATTTTTTTCCAGGGCTATTTCCTCATATAAAAACAAAAATATATCAGATCAGAAAAACGCCACAAACAAGAAAGAATGTTTCCAAAGAAAATATTTATAATAATAGTAGGTTCTTAAGAATGAATTCAAATAACAATCATAAAGAAAATGTAGATCAAAGGAAAAGTCGAAAAAAAAATCGCAATTATGAACCATATATCATACAAAGAAAGCCTAAGGATTCCGTTGATTACAGTAAAACTAAATATCAGCAAAAATCTGAAAATGGTCCTGAAGATAGAAACAAAGCCAAGAAAAAGCCATTTGTTGAAAATGATTATAATGAAAGTGATATCAATGAAGATGATATTAGAGCTTACGACGCAGATTACAAATACTACGAAGATTTAGAAGCTGAAAACCCAGAACATAACAAATCTGATGATGTTTACGAGGATAATGATTTAATTTCTGAAGAAAAAGCTGAAGACTACGACCAAAAAAATGAAAACAATGATTACAAAAATACCACTGATGACTCAGATGTTGCTGCAAAAATACAAAACTCAAATGATTATGGTAATGCTAATGATTACGACGAAATTGATGAGGGGAATAACAGCATATTGGTAGACTACAATTATAGCAATCAACATTTGAATGAGAACATTTCGAAATATAATTCAAATAGGAAAATACCTAAAAACAACGAAAACAACGAGTCAAGGAAACGAAGAAGGCAATATAAAGGTTGTTATCCGAAAACTGAAGAGGACTACATAAACGAAAATAGTTCTGATGATTGAATGCTTACAATGGAAATACAAAATATAAAATTATTACTTCATAGATTACTTTTTTCATAAAAAATTAAAAAAAAATGTTTTAGTTAAAAAATACAAACCATATAATAAGACGCTCATCTGCTTCAAATGCGGAACTTTTGAATTTAAGTCAACTTTTAACTTGCATATATTGGAAAACGAATACATAATATATATATATATATATATACTTTGGTAGATTTTACATAATTTTTATTCATTATGATTTATTAAAGAAAACGGAAGCCCTTTTTGCATAAAAATTATTTTAACATTCACCTGATTCACTTGTAAATAATTTAAAAAAAAGTTGGAAAATCAATAGTACATTGATAATAATAATAATCTGTAATAATCAAATTTGTAGTTCCACAAATTGTATTAAGCCAAAAGATTCTTTAAACTTCCATTTTCATACATCTTCTTTACATCTGTCCCACCTCCAATAAATTGTCCATTTACAAATACTCGAGGCACCTTAAATGCAAAATACGAACGAAAATTTTTTTGTTAAATATAAAATAGTTTAAGATAAGATGTAAAACATTCCATGTTTACTAAAATTACTTGACAGAGATATGGGTATGTAAGTAGGTAGGTAAACTTAATAATAATTTCAAGTAACACCACATTAAGTAATTGTAACATGTGCTGAATTAAATTTTTAATTAATGCAAAGTTTTTCTTATGAAAATAGGTAGGTAGCTACGTACAAAATTACAATATGAACTTATACTAAAAAAAATTCTACCTTGCTATAGAAAAAGAGAACTGACATGAACAAATATGTATTTATATATAGCACCTAATTTTTACCCAAATAATTTCAAGCATACATTTCTCTAAGTTACTTTTTATATGCAGAATTTTTAACTTATTTTTCATTTTTCTAAAACATTATTTGTTATAGCTTACATTTTACTTTGTATGATATGTTTTCTTTTATGTTACAATGAAAATAAAGAAAGGTATAGTGTCTATAGGTAGAAAAAATAAATTTTTTTAAAGTGAAACAGGTACTACGTACTTTCTTTAATTCAAATTAATTCTCATATTTTTTCTGTCAAGTATTGTTTTTACGTCGCACGTTTAATATAAATTGATTGTATAGGTTGAATGTTTTGCATGATGAAAGTTTTATAGACGAAAAAAATATGTATAACAAACAAAGATACATACTGTTCTTGCTCCTGTTATTTCTCCTAAGATTGCTTGAATTTCGTCTGCATCATCTCTTTTATCAAGTTCAATGGATGTGTAATCGAATTTTAATTTTTGAAATTGCTGTAAAATGTTTTATTTAAAAATACAACTATTTCTACTGTCTTAAAAATACAAACAAACCTCCTTTGCCATTGTACAATAGGGACAATAAGACTTCGAAAATATTACCACTTTATTTCCTTTTATTTGAGCTTTCACGAATTCAGCTTTTGGACCGTCCATATCGGCCTCTGTTTTTGATGTACCTAATACTGAACCCATTTAATGTTCTTGGAAAAAATTAATGATATAGACATGAATGAGTCATAAAAAATGACACATTATACTGTGGACAGGTAAATTTACCCCCAGCACTAAAACAGTGCTATTGGTCTTATGTCACTACATAAGATGTACTGTCACTTCAATCTATTTGTGACGTTTTCGGTGGAAGTAAAAATTTATTCTTACCCAGCATTTACACATACAAGTTACTTGCATGCAAGTTTGTATAATATTAATTGTCAATTAGTTGTTCGAAATGTCAAATTACTTGCTATTATGACGTAGGCGTTTAGCAAGTTAATTTTTGAAAATGTCTTTGAGAAGAAAACAACTAGCAATATATATAATTGTTTATAAATTTTAGAAACCATAAGTTTGCTAAGTTTAATTTTTTCAAAACAAAATTCAAAAATTTTAAATTAAAAAAAAAAAAAAATCAAAACAACAAATTTTTTTTTGTGAATTTCTCAATATGTCAAATTACTTGCTCAAATTACTGGCAGCAAAATTTTCTTGCAAGTTGAACTGCAAGTAAACAAGCAAGTAGAAATATTTCAATGCGTTAGTAAAATTTTTGTATGTATTGCAACTTTCTTGCAAGTAACTTGTACGTGTAAATGCTGGGTTAGTGTAAAAATTGAACTAAAATGGATACGGCAGCGACGGACGATTTCCGTTGTTAATAGCAGAACGGCAAAGTCAGCAGTTCTGGTATTTTTCATATAACACACACACGAGGAAAGATAATGTCAAAAAAAGCGCCGACGGCAAAATAGGAATTTAAGCATTTTTACATTCAACAAGGGTAAAATAAAGTTTCGCTTAGTTCTACTCAGTCCAATGTGCGAATTTTATATATCATATATTCATTGCTAAGATCAAGCATTAATCATATTGCCAAAAGTTGCAAATAAAAACATAATTTAGTCGCAACTAGGTAACTATCAGCATAGAAAAATAAGTAAGGGCTTTTTCGATAATTCAGTTCTAACTTAGTTCTGAATGTAAAGCCCGTTCGATAAATCGAATCTGCAAAATCTGTAAAAGTAGCATGTTCGATAATGTTCTCGTGCAAAAAAAGCTCGTTCGAAAATACGATTGAGCTTTAAGTTCTTAGGCAATTTTAAAGATTTTTTTTTAATACTGCAATAAAAGTGAAAATTAGTAAAATAGAAAATTGTCGGATATTGAAGAATTAATGGGGTAAATTTATGCAATTTTTGTTTTGTACATTTAATAATTTATGTTTTTCTTTCATAGAGAGCTAGAAAATTAAAAATTTTGGGATAAATGTAAAATAAAAATGTTGATACAAGCCAGACTTGATGATGAAACAAACTACTACAAAACAATCGCGCTCCATCCTGAAATGTTCAAAAAATATGGTATCCGGCATCAAATTGATTGTTTCTAAGTAATTGGGTACCTTAGGTACAAGGTTCTTTTCGTTTTTTTTAATGTATGTTAGTAACAAATGCTTTCGTCTTCTTTTATTTACCAGATAAAAACGTATATTACTTTTTTCAATTTTTTCATTAAGTAGATCAATTATCTGATCTGTAACATATTTGCTTAGAAATTTTTTTTGTTCTTCAGACATCTTTCTTTTTTTATTTTTATAAAATTGACAATTTGCAAACAACAAAATAAAAGCTTGTTAAAAAAAATTTTAGACATTTCAGACATGCAAAGATATGTCATTCAGATTGTAGAAGTTTGTAAGTATGCGTAAAAAGTTTTTACAAACCTAAGTTAGATCTTTCAGTACAGAACTGAATTATCGAAAAAGCCCAATTGAAGAATATTCAAGCCGAACAAATGGAAAAAATTCAAACATGAAAACTAGGTACCAGAATCTTGGTGTATATGAAAAAATATGAACGTAGAAAAAAGAAAAAACGAAAAACAAAGAATATCGTTTCTCAATTGAACAATGATTTTATTTACGATATCTTGATTTTTTTTTTATGATCATTTAAATGTATATGTACGTAGGTATACAATACAAATAAAGATCAAACAAAATATTATGTACATATAAGTAGGTACAAACATATATATATATATATATATATATATATATATATATATATATATATATATATGTATATATATGTATACATATTATATGAATATGATATTACGAAAATTATGTAAATTTTTATTACAATAATTATCATTTACGTGAAACGTTTATAATGTGAACTGTAATATATAAAATAGTAGAATCTTTCGACAGTTTTCATGAAATCGAAAGTGGTACAAAGTTAGATATTTCTTTTTAAAAATGTTGGTTTGTAATGGTGGTAATGACATATCTGGAATTTAAATATTTTATGGGTCCTATTAGAGCTAGTACATTCCTTGGCACAACATTTTTTTAATTTAGTGTTAGGAAAACTCAATAAATTTTCAGGAATCTCCCTATGTTTAGGCTCCCAGTCAAAAATAGTTGGAATTGCATTTTTTTTCAAATATTTAGTTCCAATGCAATCTGAATTAAAATGCTTATTACATATGAATTTATTTTTTATTTTTTCTTGTTTCAGATTACAATTAGAAAGCCAAATATTTAAAATATTTTTTCGCTTAGGAAATTTAAAAAGTTTAAAATTATTATTGGAATCTCTTTTTTGAAAGCAATTTGAAATAACACACTTTTCAAATCTTTCTTTTAAATTAAATTTATATTTATATGTTTTGCATGCCATTTTAATCATGCGTGTTTATTACAGCATAAGAACTTTAAATTCAAGCGATTAAATATCTACAGCCTTCGCTATTGTACAAACGCAATTATAATGTACATATAAAGTTCCAAAATTTTACAATTTCAATTATTTCAAACGAAAAAATATCGAAAAGCAGCGGTACGTACAAATACATATAATAATCTTATTAATATTTCGAATTTATGAATGTAGATATGCATACCTATACATATACATACATATGTATAATTTGAAAGAATGCAAAGAAGTAATGAAAAAACAAGAGAATAACGTAAAAAACTTTTTTTCTATTTGGTATACAAAAAATTTACGATAAAATATTGTTTGTATACCAAATTTTTGTGTTCTTTTTGTTGTTTTTATTCATAGTAATATTTTCATATACACCAACATTCTGGTATCCCATTTCAGCAAGACAAAATGGAAAAAATTAATGTTGGGACCTCTTGGATTACTTATTTCTCTATGCTATCAGTTATGAAGCAATAGCGTCATCATTTACAGGAAAGGGAAAAAAAGGAGAGTTTAGGTTAAAAGAGGATAATGTAATTAAAATAAAATGACGAACACAAATAAAAACTTAAAAATTAACAACATACCGACCACCAGATACAAAAGAAGTAAGAACAATAAAAGAGAAAAAAAAATAAATAAAAGGGAACAAGAAAAAGAATATTACTGCAAATTTAAATTACACAAAAGTCTAATTACTCTTGCTAATAGTCGGAGCAAACATCAAAGAATTAGAATTAATACAACGCTACATTCTGGTGACCGGCTTATTTCAACCGTTTCCAATAATAAAGGAGCTACAATGGCCTATGACACAAACTGATGAATAAACACTACGTCACCGATAACCTCTCTCAATTTAGCGATCGCTCTCTCAAGGACTGCGTAGGGTCAACATCAATCTAGTCTCATAAGACGGCAACCAAAAGGATCAGACCAGCTTAAATCCCACAAAGCAAAACATAGAAATTTCCGCCGAACAGATTCAATACGAGAAACATCAACCCCACATTACGATGCCCAAACCTGACAAGCATATTTCAAAATCGGCCTTACAAGACACATACAAATGCTTCACAACATACAAATCAACAAACTCTTTAGCCCACCATATTACAAAGTTCAACTTCGAATTAGTCGTACCAAGAATCATATTCAAATGAGCTCCGAATTCCAGCCTATGGCCAAACACTACACCAAGAACAGAAGACTCCCTCCTTCGTTAAATTCCAAGCCATTAGCTCGAAACCATCTCCCAAAATTGTCCAACCTGATCACCCGACAGTCAGTTTTTTGTGTCAGCTTGCATCCTCGAACCTGAACAGTTAAAACCCGAAAGGCTGTACTAGAATTCCTGGCAAGACAACCAACGGACCCATTCCGTGGCAGCAAGAACCGCTCAAAGTGATCCTCAGGAATAGCAAACCTAAAAAACACATAATGCCCAGCCGCTATCTTCGTAACCGTTACCCCTCATGCTCCAACCCCAGAACACTGGCAACATGGCAGAACACATCACCCGGCTCAGTGTTCTGAATGCTACTTTTAGGCACCAACACCAATGGACGATGCAACCTCGCCGCAGCCGTCACCCAAAGAGGCACCAGTAGACGTCATACTAACTCGAACGACTTTGAACAAGGAACCAAGCCCCAACTACCCCCACAGCACCACCAGACGGAACAGAAGGAAGAATCGCCGCAGGAGTCGAGTCGGTAAATGGAGACCCCACCGCTCATCCAACCGGCACCGATTGAGAAACATACGCACGCGCAGGGCCCCTCGAACCATGACCAAGAGAAGCCAGCGAATGCAAAGACGTCAAATAAATCCGATATGAAACCGCTGAAGTGCCAAATCCAAGAGCCCCAGACACACTAAAAGACATAAAAGGCCTCAAATCATCGCCCAAGGAAGTGAAATTAGCCAAACCACAATCCCCATCAAGCACTGGAGCTGGAGAAAACATCCTAATCCCGTCAAATTCAAATTTCGGCCAAAAGCGCCGAAAAGGCTCCGCCTTGATTTGTAAGAGCTTTAACTTTAATTTTATTGCCTGCGGCAAATATAATTTAATAAATTATCTACTAATGTTAAATTAATTTTAACAATTTAATTATGTATGTAATTGAATCTCTAACAAAAGAAAATTTTAAAATTTTATAATTTAGGTGAATACATAGGTACATTTATGTGATAAAATTTATAGGTGTGGATTAAAAAATTTATTTTTTTAAAAGTGGATTAAGAATTATATTTTTTATGTAAATATGTTATGTAGTTAATAAAAAAAGTGAATCCAAAAAAGTGAAATTGTTTTTTTAAAAACAATTTTT